CAGATTCTAAATTTAAAAAATAAAGTTATTTGCCAATTGGAGTAATAAGATATCTTATTTGTTCAATTGTCATTGATTTTATGGCAGACTATTATATAAAAAAATTACATTGTAATGTGAATTATTTTGAATTATATAATGTAAATTATTTAATGAGAGTAAATTCTTAATATTGAAGTTTTTTGGTTAAATTATTTTTATTTTATAATATAAATTTATAATTTAATATACCTTAAATAGTAAAATATGAATTCATAGTATACAAAAGAAAATATTAAAAAAAAAAAAAAGCGAGGAAAGTTTAAAATATTGTGTTTTTACGAAGACCTTTTCCATCAATTCTTTTTCCTTTATCTCTTTTTCTATGAGAAACTCCGGAGGGGTTTTCTGGGATTTTAGTGCCACTGTGAGACTATAAAAGGGTTCCTTTCTTTGCTCCTTAAAGTCTTCTCCTTTTTCTTTTCAATCCCTTTAAATCACTTGTTTTCTTATGGGTTATAATTCTTGTTATTCAAACCTTTGAAGGAACTACTCAGTGCCACCAAAAGCTTCAGTAAAGTCAGGTTTTCTATTGAAAAATGAACGGAGGGGATCCAGCAATCAAGCTCTTTGGCCGGAAGATTCCTCTGCCAGACACCCAAATTCCGGTTGGGGTATGTGTATACATTTACAAATACTAATACACAATTCATACATACATACATATACTTAGAATTCATCTTTTAGTAGCTCTCTGATTTAGTCATATCCATTAATCCTTTGGGTTGACCATTTTAAGTGAAGTACCCATGTTGTTGTTGACGTTTACTTAAATGTTTTTCTTAGGAAGTATGATAATCTGAATCAGTTTTTTGTTATAGAAATGGCGTTTTAAGGGCTTTAAAGGGTATGAAGTTTATGCTCTTTTAGTTATGTTTCTTCTTCTGGGCTAGAAAGAGGATTGGTTTTAATGGGTATGAACTGTATTCGGAATGAATTTTGAATTTAAGCTTTGATTCCTCTTATTCTCTCAAACGAAATTCCTGTTATACCAAAGACTTCCTTGTTTGTGATAGGATGTTTATACAATTTTCTTTCCTTTCATTTTTAACTTTCCATATTTGTCTATATATATATATATATATATATATTTTTGAGTGAAATTTATGTCTATATTTTTATATTTTTATGGGTGAATATTATTCTTTTATGAACTAAACATTGCATTAACTTTTGGTGAAAATTGATGTAAATGAGCTGGGAAGCTGCCTAACTAGTATGGTTTGTTTGCCTTTTTTGCTTTTAGGATCACTTTATTTTTTGTCAAATTTAGCTTTAGAAAAGTTCTTTTTGGTCTCTTCTTTTCCCCCACAATCTTTTACTTCTAATGAATCAATTGGGTGCTTTGTTGACCTGTTCTGCTTTATGACATTGTTCACATACCTTTGATTAGATATGGATTATTGTAGCAAAATTATATTGCTATGTATTTTTTTATTTTATTTTATTTTTTTTTTAAATTTCCAATCAAATGGTTTTGAGAAAGCAAGGTTTGTGATGTTGTAGCTAAATTACAATTATTCTAATGCAAAAGCAGGATAAGTTTTCATTTGTGTTATTAAATTTTCTCAAAACAAAAGGTCGGAAAAGTTTTCCTTAATGGTAACTAAATTTGAATAGTATCTGGCATATATCCTTGATTATAACAGGTTTTATCATGTAATTCTAATATTTTTTCTCTTCATATAATCTTTTCCTGCTGGTTGTAATGAAAAAGAGCTCTCTATAGTCTACAGTTATTTTTCAATTTTCAGCTCTGCTTTGGGGAAAATGTTTTCTCGACTTAATGTATTAGAAGCTGTTAATTATTAGTAGTAGCTTTGCAAAAAGTCAGTTAATTATGACAGTCATACATCCTAGCTTTCTTCTGGCTAAAACTTCCCATTAGTTATTATCATTTATACTTTGGAGCAGGTCATTTCGAACTTTGTTCACTGAATTTAGTCAGTAACAGCTTTCTTCTATATTATTAGATACCTCTTGAATCTGTGATTGATTTATGCTTTAGTTCTGATTTATTAATATTTAACTAATATTAACATTGATGGGGAATCAATTTTAGCATCTGCTACAATTTTTTGGATTTGAAAATGTTAGTGAAAAAGAAATATAATTATTGTTTCTCAAGTTTTTCCCCTTTTTTTTTCATTATTTAAGCATCATTCATGAGATATATAATTGAGAGAAGTCATTCCATATGTTATTCATTTTTGAAAAAGAAATACAAGGCAGGATATATGTTTTGCACCTTCTTTGTTTTTAGTTTCTGTCTATTTTCTATGGGTTCTTTCTAGATAGCTGTCACAAATGAGTATAAATTTTTAATTTGATTTCAGGAGAGTAGAAGTGAAACAACAAACTCAGCAACTGAGGTCTCACATGTAAATTCCTCTGTGGAGCAAGATAACTGCATTACCATAGATGATGAAAGGGAAAAGGACCAGAGCACTGACCATGTGAATGAGGTGCAAGTAAGTTCCAAACCAAAGGAAGACCAGACAGAGAATAATAGTGCAGACACGGAGAAGGCATTCAAGAAGCCAGACAAGGTTCTTCCATGTCCACGATGCAACAGCTTTGACACCAAGTTCTGTTACTTCAATAACTACAATGTCAACCAGCCTCGACATTTCTGCAAGAATTGCCAGAGGTATTGGACAGCTGGTGGAACAGTGAGAAATGTTCCTTTTGGTGCTGGACGTAGGAAGAATAAGCTCTTAGTTTCTCAGTATCGACAGATGGTTGTTTCTTCTGATGGAGTGCCAATTACTCAGGTAGAAACCATAGATCCAGCTAATCAGCAACATCAATCTTCTGGTGAATCTGCAACTGCAACCCCCTTCAGGCCATCTGCGGCAAATGGGATGGTTCTAAAGTTCAGCTCAGAAGTACCTCTCTGTGAATCCATGGAAACTGTGCTTAGCCTTGGAGACCAGAACAGATGCAATGAAAAGGGAATAGTCAATTCTGGAAAGGAACCCTCTTCACATGGATCTTCCATGACAGTTTCCAGAGTACAAGGGAATGAATTACCTCAAAATGCTGTGCAAAAGGAGCAAGCTGGTTTGCCAGGATCTAATGGGACCAATTCACCAAATCCACTGCATTGCTATCCTGTTTCTCCATTGGTTTTTCCTTGGAATTCAAATATGAACAATATAGCTTCCATTGCTGCAGGCCAAGGTTCTCAGCAAACTTCTGCACCAAATAGTAGTAATGCCAATCCAGTTCAGTGGTGCCCTACACCAATGGTGGCTGTTCATGGATTTTGCCCACCGAATATTCCTTTACAGATCGTGCCTGCTGCTTGTTGGGGTTGCATGCCTTTGTGGTCTACCACAGCAGGAAATATACCTTTGACTGGTTCTAATTGTTGCTCATCCCCATCGCCCTCCAATAGCAACAGTTGCACCTCAAGCAATGGTTCACCAACACTTGGCAAACATTCCAGAGAAGTGAATTATGTGGAAGAGGAGCAGTCAGAGACGGGTGTGTTGGTTCCCAAGACACTTCGAATTGATGACCCAAATGATGCTTCAAGGAGTCCGATATGGACAACATTAAGTGTCAAACCTGACCAGAAGGTTGCTGGATCAGGAGGTAACATTTTCAAAGCTTTTGAACATAAAGAAAAAGGGAAAGACTGTTCATTGGATGGAAGCCATATTTTGGAAGCAAACCCTGCAGCACTTTCACGTTCTTTTACATTCCAAGAGAGCACATGAATGTCTTTAGAATTATTTGGTGTGGAAATCTTCTTGTTATAGTCTCTATGCATATTGAAAGCACTTATTTTCCTGCGTAGAGAATATTACTACAGTTCTTGATTGCTGTACATCAGTGGAATCTGTGGTTCTGCTTTGCTCCGAACACAGAAACAATGAGTTCATTTGAAGCAAAAGCTGCTGAGACAATGGCCAGGGATCCTCAACATTGCTACTCACCTTTGAGCTCTGTAAATAGAAGACAGCAAATGAGCGACTGTTCATCATGATAGGCGACCTACTTTCATGTTTCAACTGATAAACTTGCATGTCTCTTTTTCAGTAATTTTCCAAGTAACAAAGAGATCAGGAGATGATCCTCTACTTCCTATAAATTTTAAAATGGGGTGGGCGCATGAAAATGTTTTACAACCCTAAGATTAAATATAATAGTAAGCAAGCAAATGTTATTTTGTAAATTAGGTTTAAGGTTTATATTTGAGATCAATGCTTAAACAAATTAATTTTTTTAAAATATATTCAACTAATGTGTAATTGTGCAGAGAGAAATTAATTTTAAAATTTATAAAAATTGATTCGAAAATATTTTGACAATAAATGATAAAAATAAAATATTGTGCATCCAAGCAATCATGACCATTTGAATGTTGGCAAACAAAGCTGAAAATTTCGTAGAAGTGGGGCTGTAACTAAAAAGAGAATAATTTCAAGATTGGAGGTCCACACTTCTTTAATTCAGTGGAATATCTTGCTTCCCCTGCGCCTTTTTCATAATTTTTAGGTATTTACACAATGATTAAGGAGATTATTAATTAATCTGGATAAAAATATTTAAGTTGGAGTACTAAATTAATTTTTTAGATACAATTTAAAAGTGTAATTATTGTGTTTTTTTATATTAATTAATATTTAAAATATAAAAATTTTTAATCTTTTCATCTAATTAGCAAAATTTATTTATTAAGTTAATATATTTTTATGATAAATTAATGTAAAAATAAAAATATATTAATTACTTAATATTATTAAAGATAAAAAATAAAATTAAAACTAATTAGATGAGTACTAATTAAAAAATATAGCCAAAAATAAAAAAAATGATAAATTTATCAATAAAATTAAAAAATTTTAATCCATCAACTGTTTGATACAAAAAGTTACCTTAAGTTGCCTTTTCAATCCGTAAACAATTTGGATCTTAACTGTTATTTACTAGTTTGTAATTATTATTTACTAGTTCCTAATTGTTATCTACTAGTCCCAAATTACTAAAAAAAATATTTATCTAATATTTAATTTATAACAATTTCGAAATAAATAAGTTAACAAAACATTTACTTCAATGATTTGAACAAAATTTTTAACGGTTACCTCCAAACTCCTATGCCAAACCGGCCTAAGAATGACCTTTACTAGAATCAGAATCAAAATCAAAATCAAAATCGTTAAATCCAATAAAAAATGCTCTCTCATGCTTCTCCCTAGCTTTAAGGCTTGGGATTGTAGATTCCTTCTTTCGAGATTTCTTTTTTTTTTTTTTTGTTGAGTTGCTATCTTTATCCAATTCATTCATCCATGATTTACCCTTTTAGTTTTGTTTTTCTCTTTTGCTTTTGTTTGATCTATCCCCATCCCCTGTACCCAACCAAAAAAAAAAAAAAGGGAGGCCAAGCGGTGGCTTCAATTGGTAAGATTTGGGCTGGTTGGCGGAGTCGGCGAAAGTCACAACTGGGAGAACGATCAAGCTTTGTGGATTAGGCGGTGGAAAAATACCAAAAAAGAAAAAAATGAAAAAATGAAAAGGGGAGTGCTTGGTGGTGTCGGCAGTTAGTCATGGAGAGTTTTGGAATTATCCTCCTTGAGCTGTTCGGTACTTTGGTTAAATAGGTATCATTTCTGGCTTTTAAAAAAATAAAATATGTATTTATTTAAAATATAATATTATATTAATTTAAAATGTTGAAGCAGAATATACAAAATATATGTGAATGAAAGTCCATGAAATTTTAAAAAATTATAAATAATAAAAATATATGAAAATTATAAATGATAAAAATAAATAAAAATTATGAAAATTATAAATGATAAAAATAAATAAAAATTATAAATGATAATGAAAATGGTAAATAAAGAGGTAAATAAATAAAAATTATAAATAATAA